TCTTAATTGTCATAAATTGACCTGCATAGTTTAGTCCACCAGAACATTGATTGTGATGAACAGCATTATACAACAGCAATTTTTTTTTTTTCCATGTATGCAACGAAAGAACAAAAGATTTCTCCAACCCATGTTCATAGTTACTTCAACGTCACAAGTCTGTCACATCTTATTCCCATTTCAGATACTATGTCTCAAATCAAACCCTCACATCAAATTCCTTATACGTTCTTCATTTAAGTCCCCTTTCCCTTCATCCACTCTCTTTCCCGTTTCTCGCTTCATATTAGAATCAACATGCATACATATATATATATATATATATATATATATATATATATATATATATCAAGTTACTCAAATAAGGCCTATAAACACTAACCCCTAAGATCTAAATACTCCTTATGATTTAACCAACATAGTCCAAATGCAATTTAAGGCAAAATACCTCATTCAAACTCAAGTCTCTTATTACAGCACCAAATTCTTGAAACATAACATCAATAACAATAAAAGCAGTGCTATTTTCCAACAAAATACAATATTTAATACAGTCCCATCATTTTACAAACATAGCAAGTTTTTCTAATCAGTTCTTCAATGGAAGGAACTCAAAAAACGCGCCTGTAGACAAAAAGAAAAACAAAAAAGAATATAACTTTACATCTCAAGCAACAATATCCGAATGATAAATTAAAAAGAAAAGCAACTACATATAAGATGGATCTCTAACAAACAAAACTCAAAAAAAATCAAGGTATGATCAGAACCTCTAATTTATATCTTCATTATCAGCTTTTATAGAAAAGTATGAAAGGATTGAATGATAAGTGTTGTATTGCTTTGTGGCAGATAGCTAATTATATATACAAATGACAACAAACTGAAACAAACGATAACAAACTATCGTAACAATACTATATGGAGAACAAACAAACTATCTTAACCAAACTATACAGATACAAGATATTAACAAACTCTTCCTAAAGACTTGGTCTTCATTAGTTGAAGAATAAGATCAAAGGTGATCTTATCCTAACACTCCCCCTCAAGTTGGAGCATGTAATGAAGAAATGCCCAACTTGCTGCGAAGAAAACCGAATTGCTTCATGCCAAGGGCTTTGGTAAAAATGTCTGCAATCTGTTGATCGGAACGAACATAAGAAGTAGCGATTGTATTTCGTAAAACATGATCTCGCACAAAATGACAATCGATTTCTATATGCTTGGTGCGTTCGTGGAACACTGGATTAGCAGCTATTTGCATAGCAGATTGGTTATCACAATGTAAAAGCATTGGCTGTGAATGGGGAACATCAAGAGAGTTTAAGAACGATTTGATCCATAATAACTCAGCTGTGGCTGCTGCCATTGCGCGATATTCAGCCTTTGCAGAGGAGCGTGACACTGTAGGCTGTTTCTTTGTTTTCCAAGAGATAGGGGAAGTGCCTAACATAATAAAATAGCCTGTGACTGATCGCCTGGTAAGTGGACAGCTAGCCCAATCGGAATCAGAATAAGCTCGAAGAAGAAGGTCATTTTCTGATTGAAGCAGTAATCCTTGACCGGGGTTAGCTTTTATGTATCGCAAAATACGTAAGACAACTTCATATTGAGCTTCGGTGGGATTCTGCATGAATTGCGATAAAACATGGACGGAGTAGCTTAACTCGGGTCTGGTAATAGTCAGATAAACTAGACGTCCTATGAGCCTTCTGTACCGTGCTGGATCCGAGAAAGTGGGACTTTCTGTAATAGCAAGTTTATGATTTGTTTCAAGAGGAAAGTCACAAGGTTTGCATGCAAGGAGGCCAGCATCTTCCAATATGTCGAGAGCATATTTTCGTTGGCTTAGAAAGAGACCAGAAGAACTGTGAGCCATTTCTATTCCAAGAAAATATTTTAAAATCCCCAAATCTTTGATATGGAAGCATGAGTGGAGGAAAGTTTTGACAGCATTGCATGTGGTTGCATCATCCCCAGTTAAGATAATATCATCAACATAGATGAGAAGAGCGATGAAGTGACCATTCTTGTGTAAGGTGAATAGAGTATAATCAGCCTTAGATTGAGTAAAACCGTAGGACTCAAGAGATGACCGCAACTTAGCAAACCAATTTCTGGGGGACTGTCGCAATCCATAGAGTGATTTATATAAGCGGCATACTTGATGGGGTTTGTGATGCTGGAAGCCTTGAGGAACTCGCATATAAACTTCCTCTTTAAGATCTCCGTGTAAGAAGGCGTTTGTAACATCTAACTGGTATAATTTCCACTTCTTGGCAGCTGCTACTGCCAGAAGTGTCCTCACACTAACCATCTTTGCTACAGGAGCATATGTGTCAAAGTAATCTTCGCCAGGTATTTGATTATTACCAGCAATTACCAGCCGTGCTTTGAATCGCTCCACAGTACCATCTGAATTGTATTTGATGCGGTAGACCCACTTACAAGGGATTGCACGTTTACCAGGTGGCAAAGAAGTAAGCTCCCATGTTTTGTTTTGCTCAAGTGCATCAATTTCCTTTCGCATTGCTAAACGCCATCGTTCATCTGTGACAGCTTCTTTGAATGATTTAGGTTCGACTCCAGAAGAAATGGCAGCAAGAAACTGTTGATGTTCGGGAGAAAATTTAGAACAAGAAACAAAGTTAGTAATGGGATAAGGAATACCTGAGGATAGACTGGAGGAGGTAGAAGAGGCTGCTGGATTATGTGCTATGACATTGGTGCATGTATAATCCTTGAGATGTTTGGGAGGATGGCGAGAACGATGACCACGACCCAAAGTTTCTGATGCAGTAGTTGATGGTATTTGAGACTGTTCATGTTGGTCGACTAGATTATCTGATGTAACAGTTCCTGGTAGTATGGAGTGTTCATAGTGTGCAACCAAAGGTAAAGAGCGTTGGTCAACATCTGCAGGAGTTGTAGGATGTGGTGCAATTTCGCAATCAACTGATTGAGTGGAAGAAGATGTGTCGTGTGCAGCCGGTGTTGGTTCTGCTTCAACATGAGACTGCATCAGTTGGGAAACTTCAATGTTGGTAGGAGTTTCTGTTTGGGTTTCATAGGGAAAGATGGTTTCTTCAAATACCACATCTTTAGAGACAAATATGGTCTGTGTATCAAGGTTATAAAGCCTCCATCCTTTCTTGCCAAAAGGGTATCCCAGAAACAGGCATCGGACTGACCTTGCAGCAAACTTGTCTGACGATTTGGGACGTGGATGAGCATAACAAAGGCATCCGAAGACACGAATGTGATCGTAGTTTGGTGTACGATTAAAAAGGCGTTCAAATGGAGTCTGTCCTTGAAGAAGAGGTGTCGGGGTCCTGTTGATTAGATGAACAGCAGTGAGAACACATTCTCCCCAAAATTCAATGGGAAGATGAGCTTGAAAGCGTAGTGCCCGTGCTACATTCAAAATGTGTCTGTGTTTCCGTTCGACTCGTCCATTTTGTTGTGGTGTGTCCACACATGATGTTTGGTGTATAATCCCCATGTCTGAGTAAACCTTACGAAGATTAGTAGCACAGAACTCTGAACCATTGTCGGATCGTATTATTTTGACATTGGCATTGAACTGAGTACGAACCATCAAGAGAAACTGAGATAAGTATTGGAACGTTTCAGTTTTAGTCTTCATTAAATAAACCCAGACATTTCGGCTAAAATCATCCACAATAGTTAAAAAATATCTTGCACCAGTTAAAGAAGCAGTTTGATATGGACCCCATATGTCACAATGAATAAGATCAAAACATGAAGTAGTTTTATTAATGCTAACAGGAAATACAGTGCGAGTTTGTTGTGCTCTAAGGCAAATATCGCATACTGAAGAAGAAATTTCCTTATGTTTATTCATTGTAACAAAAGGGAGAAAATGCAAGGACTGAAACGACGGATGACCCAAGCGACGATGCCAAATATCTGCAGTCTGTTGTTTTTGAGCAGTACATGCAGTAAGGGAGGATCTTTTATTTAAGGAGTCATGCACATAAACACCAGCCTGCAATCTACCCAGTCCAATCTTGATCCTCGTTGTGGGGTCCTGCAATTCACATCCAGTGTGAGTAAAAGAAATAATGCAATTTGTATCAGCAAGTAATTGAGCAACTGAGATAAGATTGCATTTTAATTGTGGAACATATAACACATCCTGAAGAATAATATTGGATGTCAACTGAAAAATTCCTCGTTGAACTGATACGAGTTGATCACCATCTGGTAAGCCTATGGAAGTAGGTGGAATGGATTCAACATTCGAGATTAATTGAAGATTCCCAGTCATGTGTTGAGAAGCACCACTATCCACTAACCAGGTGTAATTTGGAATGTGCTTACCAGAAAGTGTTGTAGTATTAGCAGAGGGTGTAGAGGGAGAGACAACCATGTTGGCAATCTGCTGAAGAATCTCAGGAGTCAGATTTGGAACGAAATTCGGGTTGGAAAACGTAGGTATGGCAGCTGCGGTTTGTGGTGCAGGAGAACTAATTGTGTAGTTCCTTTTGTCATAGGGTTTGCCACGTCCTCTACCCCGACCATAGGGTGGTTTGCCATGAAGTTGGTAACATTTAGAGACATCATGGTATAGCTTACCACAGTGGTTGTCATTGGCAGCGGAAGAATCTGAATCAGCCATGGGAAATTGGATCGTTACTGTTAAACTGATACCATATAGAAAAGTATGAAAGGATTGAATGATAAGTGTTGTATTGCTTTGTGGCAGATAGCCAATTATATATACAAATGACAACAAACTGAAACAAACGATAACAAACTATCGTAACAATACTATATGGAGAACAAACAAACTATCTTAACCAAACTATACAGATACAAGATATTAACAAACTCTTCCTAAAGACTTGGTCTTCATTAGTTGAAGAATAAGATCAAAGGTGATCTTATCCTGATCTTATCCTAACAGCTTTTATATTTATGTATATAAAGAAACAATAATGAAGATAATTATGTTAATATGGTTTTTTATATACCTAAGTCTTTCTTTTAGTATCAAAGTCACGGGGGTGACCCTCAGCAGCTGATTCCATTTGACGGCGGCGCTTCTGCCTTTCTCTTGCTTTGTGATTCTGAAACCAATAGAAAACATTTTTCCCTTCAATTTTTCCAAATCTTCTAAGTTGTGCAGTTATTTGCTGGATTTGCTCTGCAGATGGTGTTCTTGTCCCTTTTCTATACAACTCTTCCAATGCTCTTAGCTGCTCCGGGGTAGGGTTCCACCTTGAACTCACCACAACTGGTGGAGTATTATTGAACTCTCTCTTGCTCTGCTCTGCTCTGCCGCTGATGCTAAAACAAGAAAGCTTTTACATTAATTTGCATACCATCTCACATGAATATATAAAGACAAAACACTGGATATATACAACCACAGAGAGAGATATATAGAGAGAGGGGGGAACAACATACCCAGATTGTGATATTGTGAAAAGAAATCATTGTCATGAATGAGGCTCAAGCAAGGAGTGTTTGTAGTTGAAGTGTTGATAGGTGAAGTCATTGGCCTAGGCATGAGATCGAGGCCTGAGTTTCCTTCCATTGAATGCATAATCAGCCATGTTGAACTCACCACCTTCATTGTAACCCACCAGCCACATAGCTGGCTGTTATATATAGTCTTAAATTATCAAAAAGCAAAAGCTAGGTTTTTAATTTGTCACTCCGAGTGTAGCAGTGATGGGCTGATGATAGATGGAAAAGCTTATAAATGGAATGAGATATATAAAAATCATTAATCTAGCCTCACCCAATAGCTTAAGCTTTTGGGTTGAATTGGTTCTTTAAATGGTATCAGAGCCTCGGTGTATCGCGTTCGATCCTCACCGCCCCCCACTTTCTTTCTAGTGGAATTTTTTTCTTCGCACAGTTAGGTGGACCTGTGCATTGTCCACCCTTCAAGCCCAGTGGACTATCGTGTGAGAGGGCGTGTTGAGATATATAAAAACCATTAATGTAGCCTCACCCAATAACTTAAGTTTTTGGGTTGAATTGGTTCTTTACATATAATATGTAATGAAAATGAAATGAAAGATATATAATAATAATAATTAAGGGGAATGGAAAGCAAAAGTGAAATGGTGGAGTGCCAGAAATGGAGCAGAAGTTGAGAAAATAAAAGAGGAAAAAATGGAATGAGTGTGTAGTGTTGTTGAGCATGCAAGGTTGTGATGTGCATGAAAAAATGGAAATGCCTAGCTAGTTGAAATGAAAAGTAGACAAGGCTTATATATGGTAAATATAGGTTACTATATGCTAACAAAGAAGGCCATTGTTGAGGGAGAGTGACCATTTTGCCACGTTTCGACAAAAAAATTATCAGACTGCCACGCCAACAGTAAATTTTGCCAAAATGCCACGCGGCATAATTCGCTACACAGTGTAGCGAATTATGTATGCAAGTAATTCGCTACACAGTGTAGCGAAATATGCCACGTCAGAGCCAAAAATGCCACATGTCAAATTTTGCAAAATTCGCTTTATGTAGCGAATTTTGCAAAATTTGACATGTGGCATTTTTGGTTCTGTGCGTTCTGACGTGGCATATTTCGCTACACAGTGTAGCGAATTATGCCGCGTGGCATTTTGACAAAATTTACTGTTGGCGTGACAGTGTGTTAATTTTTTTATTCAAACATGGCACTTTGGTCACTCCTCCCATTGTTGAAAGTGAGTTAGTTGAGCTGAAACTGTGAAGTATTTGTGTCTCAGACATATTCAGAGATGGGGATTGATCACTCTCTCTCTAGTACTCTAGCTTATGAGAAGGAGAGATATAGATAGATATAGAGAGAGAATGGTGTTGGTTTAATATGGGACAAAATGAGGCGGACATGAGGTTGACTAGCTAGGCTGTTTTGGAGAGAGAAAGAGAGAGAGAGAGGATGAAGAGACAAAGGCAAAAAAGAAAAGCAAAGAGGGAGAGTCAGTGAGGAAGGAAAAGGAGGAAGCGTGGAATTCTGGGAGATTTTTGGGAGTAGGGAATGAAAAACGACGTGACGATGATGAGTGTTATCATGAGCCTCCTCATCACCCCTTCTCTTTTCTCTCCTCACATTTATTATTCTCTTCATGTCTCGTGCCTTTCACACTAATTCTCAATCCGAACTGCCCCTCTCTCCCTCTCTCCTCCTCCTCTTTCACCCTTAACCTTTTCTTTGTCTATTCTACTACTCTCTACGGAGATATTTGATCTTTCTCAAATCTTAAATTTTCACTTTCACCATATTAATTATATATATATCAATTGTTATGTAAATAACCAATATAAGCTATGGTTAATTAATAATGGTGTATATATATATATGGGATTGATCTTAATTTTAGGCTTTGAGTTGTTTTATGTAATTTTGAGCAGTATATATAGTACCCAGATATATATAGTAGCATCATTGAAATGATAAATTTACAACTATGAGCTGGAGCTAGCAAAATAGAAAATTTACTGTTACCCATTTGGAATCTTCCTTCTATGGTCCAGACCCATTTATTGGATTAAATTGATCATATGGGGGGTTTGTCCAGTGATAAGCAAATCTTGTCCCATGTCCTCTCTCTCTCTTTGTGTGTGTGTCTGTGTGTGTGGCTTGGTTTGCATCTCTCTCTCTCTCTCTCTCTCTGTTTGCCTCTTAGGTATAGCCCCTTGGTCATTATGATGGAATGACTCAATTCTCGAGTACCTTAGGGTGGAACTCTGTCATGGCTGATATACGAATTTGAAAGCTATAATTGATTAATTATTTCTAGCTTTTTGTTGTGGGGAGGGCCTACGTCCTGCAAATTCTGAATACCTACTATTTGCATGTCTGTTATTTATGAGATGTGCATGCAAAAATATGTAATGAAAGTACCATGCAAACTACAGAACAATGCATCCACTATATACTGTGAGTCTGTAATATATATATATATATATATATACACATGAGATTTGTATTTGTTATTTAACATGATATAACAAATTTTCTTACATATATAACATTTTGTGGGGTTCACACTTTTTGAAGAAAAAAAAAAAAAAAAATTACGGCATGCAAAACGAATCTCTATAACATGACACAATTATTTTTATTACAATATAACTCTTATAAAATTCTATATATATATATATATATATATATGTGTATTGTGCATTTCTCTATTACTGCACTGCTAATAAAAGCCCTAATCACTTGTCATTTCTGGCTACGCAAACCAAACCAAAATCACCCCTAGTCAAAATATCACAAGGGTGGCCCCCCTAAACTGTAAGGTTCTTTCTGATCCTTTAGGCTTCAGCTGCAATTAGTCGGCTCTTTGACCAGTTGGGGTTTTTTTGTGATTTTAATTTATCAATTTATTATTTGATTCAAGGTATTTATGAATGGTGGTCATTTAGTGACGCGAGAGGGACCCAGCATCATTGAGTGCCGCTATCATCTCCCATGTCACTCACACTTTTTATTTTTTTTTTATTTTTTTCTATTGAGTGCCGCCCTCCCTCCCCCGGGGCACTCACAGAATTGTGTCAAGTGGCAAAATTTGATTATTCCTATTACCATCAAATTTCAGAAAGTCATAACTTTTGACTCGGGTATCCAAATCGGATGATTTTTTTTAATTTCATATAAATTTTCGAGATCTACGTAATGATATCTCATTTGACATATTTTATCTCTCACAAACATAATTCAAATCTGTAAAAAAGTGTAATTAGTGTTGCAATTTTGAACTATATTAATGGAAGGTAAAATATATTAAATGAGATGTCATTGCGTAGATCTCGAAAAGTTATGTGAAATAAAAAAAAATCATCTGATTTGAAAACCCGAGTCAAAAGTTATGGCTTTCTGTAGTTTTACGGTAATATGAGTGACCAGATTGTGTCACTTGGCACAATTCTGTGAGTGCCTCAGGGGAGGGGACGGCACTCAATAGAAAAAAATAAAAAAGTGTGAGTGAAGCGTGAGGATGGTAGCGGCACTCAATAACGCTGAGTCCTTCTCATGTCACTAAATAACTCCATTCATAAATCCCTTGAAACAAATACGAAATTGATAAATTAAAGCTGGGTGAAAGAGCCAGAATTAGTCAATGGCGTAATTTAGGAGGCATGTGCATGGGAATGTTTTCTTCTTCAAGGATCTCTTGTCTTTTACTGCGTTTAAATAATAATAAAACATAGCTCATAACTAACATATCATGAATCTAGCTAAGTAGTCAAGTCCTATTTTATATTTTCTTTTTCTTTTTCTTTTTTGGGATACTCGATCTACATAATATAATGTTACCCGTGAATCCTGATTCACGTATATAGCTGGTCACCTTTTTTGGTGATGGAGTTATTCCAAGCTTCAAAAGTGTGCTGTGCAGGGATTAATTTTTCTTCAGTTTTATAGGCCTCTATTTTTTTCCCAAGTCTACAAAATGTGCAGTGTTAAAGAATCAAAACAAATAACGATTAAATTTGATCCAAAAAATAAATAAATAACGATTAAATGTTTTGGTACATGTGTTGGGAAAAGGGTAGGAAGGTTTAAGTGAAGAAAGGTGAAAGACAAAACATGTTTACTTTTCTTTTCTTTTTTTCGATGAGCAAACATGTTTTCTTTTAGCATAAACTTGGAAGCACGAAAATATGAGGAATTAATTAGCAAAACAACTTTTAATTCTTTGATAATTAGACGAGAGAATCATTTTAAAAGTTAAGCTAAATTCAATTTGTAAAACATTGTTGCATACATGAGTCCACATTTACCCGCATTGGCATGCATTGTTTTCATAAAAATTCAAGTGACACTGGTCTTAGTCTTATTTAAGAATTTCCCTATTTCCCAAGAGTATAGTAAGACTTCCAATCTTGCAACGCCAAAACATGATGAAAGCAATTACACTCGAAGGGACAAGAGTTCAGAGGGGACAGCTAGAGCTTTTTCCCCATAAAGGGCAAAAAGGATTGTAAATATATTATTTACAAAATATGATTTAGGCTGTTTTTCTTTTACTGTGCACTCCAATTCCATCTAATTTCTAAGATTATATATATATATATATATATATATATATATATATATATATATATATATATAAATTATATTTATTTCTCTAAAATTAACCGTTTCAAAACATGCATTTATTACATATCTTCTCACTTATATTACATTCTCAGTAATCAACAAATATCGCAACAATTCATTAAACAAAAATAATTTTTACACATTCTACATAAAAAAATAAATAATACTTACACATAAATTTTATGCTTTATTTACACATAAATATGTTTCAATTGTTTTTATTTTATTTTATTATCTTAAAATAAAATAATATTTTTTTTAACATGTGTTTTAAAGACGTTGACACATCTTTTTTTAAGCTAAAAAATATTTTTAAGTTAAAAATTAAAAAATAAAGCTAAAAGTTGTTTAATGATTATATAAAGTTGTTCCGATGATTTTGAAGAAAGAGAGATGAAATAAATTTTTATCATGATGGATTATTAAGGTAAAAGATAAAATTTATAAATATAAGTTTAAAATAAAAGTAAAACTATAAAATAATTATGAGGACTCCAAAAAGTTGACATACATTTTAAAAAAGAAAACTCCTCCTGGCTTTTAGCTATTAATTTTTTTCTGCATTATTAAAAAAAAAAACTTTATGTTTAGGAGAAGAAAAGTTGAAAATAAGACATTCTAAACAGGCACTAAAGTTCATTTTTTTTTTATATTAAATTACTCTTGAATAATGGTTACGTTAAATTCATCGAATGAGTGTGTTAGATTCAAATGGTAGAATTGCAAGTGAATCGCACCAAATATAAAGGGTTTGTACATTTCATTATTATTATTTTCAAATTATTGCACTGAACATTGGTTAACATAAAATCTGTTAGACGAGTGTTATATACTAATTAAGGTGGGGGGTTGCACGTGACTCCCACATGAATCACACGAAATATAGAAGGCTTGCATATCTCAATATTTTGGTACTTCACAAGATTTATGTCATTGCCCGTGACAAAAACCACTTTCCCCAAAACTTTAGACGATCATATTGCATTATAGGCAAATTAGCTATATGGTACTAAGACCAAATATTAAATTCCAAAAAAGAAGAAGCTATATGGTACTAAGACAGGTGATGATGTTTTTTTTAGCGCAATTTGAGAAATGAGATTGCTAAGTTGTCTTATATAATTAATTAGATCCTTTCCAAATATTCGATCAAGAACGTTCAGAGAATCACCTTTTACTTATTTTGTGGAATATTTGTGATTCATACTCAACAAACTGTTGATAACAAATAACAATCACCCAACAAACGGTGATGGTATCTCTAATATTTCCATTTTGCAGATACTGCTTCTCTTGGTCCCTTTTTGCTTAATTTATTTTAACTTTGGCTTACAGTAAATTTAGTTTTATCTTAGTGCAAATTTTCTTGTAATTTGTGATTTTTTTTTTAATAATTATGTTTGTAATCATTGGGCCAGTCTACATAATTAAGGGCCCGTTTGGAACTTTGAATTGTTTATGGTGGCTATGGCACCGAAGTTTCGCATAGTCATCGATGTTCAGTAACAGAATATCTAAGCTCCATGGATTTCTCAGAAACCTTATTCCTTCTCCTTCCGCGAAAGCCATGCATTCCCTTCATCAACATCAACCCAAACAAAAAAACAAACCCATTGCTCCATTTCGCAGCAACAACAACAACATGAAGAAACCCATGAAATTGAAGAAGAAGAAGAACGATTCTTCTTCTTCTTCCTCTGATCCGAGAGAGTATACGAGGAACCTCATTGGGAAAATTTACAGAACGTTAAAGTTTTCAACTTGGGATTCTGCTCAGCAAGAGCTTGAGAATCTCCCCGTGAAATGGGACTCTTACACGGTGAACCAGGTTCTCAAGTCACACCCTCCAATGGAGAAAGCGTGGTTATTCTTCAATTGGGCTTCTGGGATCAGAGGGTTCAAGCATGACCAGTACACTTACACAACGATGCTGGATATTTTCGGAGAAGCTGGGAGGGTTTCATCCATGAAACACGTTTTCCAGCAGATGCAGGAGAAGGGGATTAAGATTGATTCTGTTACTTACACTTCCATGATGCATTGGCTATCGAGTTCGGGGAACGTGGATGAGGCAGTGGAGATGTGGGAACAAATGAAATTCAAGGGATGTTCCCCAACTGTTGTTTCTTACACTGCTTATATGAAGATTCTGTTTGATAATCACAGAGCGAAGGAGGCTACTGATGTTTACAAGGAGATGCTTCACTCTGGCTCTGTACCAAATTGTTATACTTACACGATATTAATGGACTATCTTATTGGGTCTGGTTAGTGTGCCTTCAACCTGTTTGTTATGTGGTCTATGAGGGCATTCAGTCCTTGTCTTTGCCAGTTAAATGATATATGGGGAAAATAGGAACAGTGGCCAAAGTGCCACTGTTGGAAAAAAAAATATCAAAATGTCACGCCAACAGTAAATTTTGTCAAAATGCCATGTGTCATATTTCGTTACACTGTGTAGCGAAATATGTGCACATAATTCGCTACACAGTGTAGCGAAATATGCCATGTCAGAATGCACAGAACCAAAAATGGCACATGTCAGACAGGGAGAATTTCGCTACACTGTGTAGTGAAATTCTTCCTGTTTGACACGTGGCATTTTTTGTTTTGACATAGCATATTTCGCTACACTGTGTAGCGAAATATGCCACGTGGCATTTTGACAAAATTTACTGTTAGCGTAGCATTTTGGTATTTTTTTTTTTTCCAACCGTGGCACTTTGATCACTGTTCCGGAAAAATATATATTCAAGTTGGTGGTTCTTAACAATGGCATAAACGTATAATTTATTATTGGTTCTTTTATCCTTTGGTGATGCTACTATTTTATAACTAAATGAACTTAAAACTCCAGCTGAACTTGTCATGATTCTTTGCTTTTGAGTTTGACACTTTGACCGAAGGATAAGTTTACTTGCGGAAAGCTCAAGCTTAACTAGCCTAATGACATTCGCATTCTATAATTCCCCTTGGGACGTATTGAGAACCATATGATCTCAGTCTTAAAAAAAAAAATAATAATAATATTTTTACTTTGCTTGCGTCATTTATAAAGGGAAGAACATATTACTTGGGTTTAAAAAATTCAGCAGATCAGAGTGATTGCTTCCATGCAGTGAACTTTTGGCGCAATTTCATTTAGAAACATCTAACTGCCACAATTTGTCACCCATCCCGAGTTGTGCTGTCATTTGTTTATTGTGAAGTTGAAGGCAGTAATGGTTATTCTTGTTTTTGTGTATTTTAGGAAAATGCAAAGAAGCCCTTGAGATTTTTGAAAAGATGCAAGAGGCTGGGGTGCAACCTGATAAAGCTGCATGCAATATTTTGATTGAGAGGTGTTCTAAAGTTGGTGGGACTGTGCTCATGAACCAAATCCTTCAGTATATGAAAGAAAACTGTCTTGTTCTTCGCTACACTGTTTTTGTGGAAGCATTGGAAGCTTTAAAAATTGCTGGTGAGAGTGATACCCTTCTAAGGCAAGTCAATCCACACTTTTATATGGATTGTAGCATAAGGAAGAAGGCAAATGACAGTGTCATAGTTGCTGCAGATTCTCCTACTAATATAGATAAAGAGCTTCTATTTGTTCTCCTGAAAGATAAAAATTTTGTTGCTATTGACCATTTACTTGCAGGGATGATGGATAAGAAAATACCTCTAGATCATAAGGTTATCTCGACCATTATAGAAGTAAACTGTAGTCACTGCCGACCTGATGGGGCTTTGTTGGCTTTCAAGTATAGTGTGACAATGGGAATAAGTATTGAGAGAACAGGATATCTTTCCTTAATGGGCTTGTTGACCAGATCAAATATGTTTTCAAAGATGGTGGAAATTGTTGAGGAAATGACTAGAGGTGGGCATTCTCTTGGAATCTATCTGGCTTCACTTTTAATCTATAGGCTTGGTTGTGCTAGGAAGCGAACTTTAGCCACAAAGATTTTCAGCTTATTACCTGATAACCATAAGTGCACTACTACCTATACTGCTTTAATTAGCGTTTACTTCTCCGCTAGAAGAGTTAATGAGGCACTTGAGATTTACAAAATCATGTGCAGAAAAGGATTTTGTCCTACGAGAGGCACTTATAATGTACTAATAGCCGGTTTGGAGAGAAATGGTAGATATTCTGAAGCAGAACATTATATGAAAGCAAAGAAAAGCCTACATGCTAAGAGTGGATCTCAGGAAAATGTTTGCATAGACGGAAAGATATGCGACCTTCTGTTTGCTCTGGATATAATACATTGATTTTGGTGCGCTGAGAGTTCTCATTGTTGATTCAAGTTGAGGGCATGTTGAGTAGTTGCTATTGGAGAGTGGAGATATGCCAGTTATGCTGCATGGCACCTGCTGCTTATCTGTCAATAAAAAACGGGTATTCTGGTCCAAGATCCAGTTCATTAGAGATGTCAGTAACTGTCGGGTCATCTGCCTGTAATTGCAACATCTTGCAGAAAATGTTAGGAATATGGAACAGATGAACTCGAGCATTATGTTCTTCAAAACAACCATATGATACATAAAACAAGAACATTATGAAGTATGCTCCCCCATGCAGATGCTTGTAACTTTGATGTCCTAGTCAAAGAAGGGATTTGTGGTTGATAAAGTGTGAGATGTCAGCTATACACATGTACTGAAAAGTCCCCTGCGTTAATATCAAGGTAAAATTGCTCTGGAATTATGTCTTCTCCTTCGTGAGTACTTTGGTGATTTGGACATTCACTGATAAATTTTCAGCTGGGCGGGTGCCAATTACATGGATGAGCAAGATCCCAGTTTCAAAATCCCATATTGCAGTTTTCATGGAAAGATTAAGATTTAGCTTTCTCTCATAGGCAAAAGTGTAGCATAATATATTTAACCTACTTATAGAAGAGACTTCTCTTTACCCACATCCTCTTTGCGTGTCTGTGTGATACTTTTTTTTTTTTTGGTATCTATGTGTGATACTCAATTCTTGAAGAAATCATGTACGGAAATTCCAAAAAAAAATTATTTATGAAATTAAAGTTGAGAATATGGAGTCCTTCCTTGTTCTGTTGCTCTCTCTTTTGGATGATCCTTCTCTTAAAATTTAAATAGCAACAATGATATGATGGTTTTTCGGATGATCTTTCAGTTGAGTGGATGGAATATAACTACCAAAATAAGCATCCATCAGAGCTTAGGATATTGGAGCTGCTACTGCTACAAGTGCTCAATGGTTCAATGTCCAATGTATTCTTTTTTTTCTTTTTCTTTTTTGTGCTGGATCAGTTAGTGCTTATTCAGTATTGCTAGTAGCTAGTGTTATTAATTATTTTAAAATTGCTGGCCTTATTTGTGTTTTTTTTGTTCAACTGAAAGTGGAATAGTTCAAGCTTTTGCCATAACTCTTATCTATAATATGCATAAAAGCATCATTAAATAATATTTTTTTTATAGTTGAAGAGAGTAAATAAATTGTGAGAGAAAGGAACTTTTTCCGAAGGGAATCTTGTGTCCAAATAATATTTTATTGGTTCCGATTTTAGATAGGGTGATGCTAATGAGGAGCAAAATATTCCTTGCAAGTAAGTTGGACATAATTCTTGCACATACATCATTGAATTTGTTTGCCTTAGCATATGAATCAGAATGTATTTTCTGGCCTCTAATCTAGTCAACCTAATGACAAACGTGTTATCAGTTATTCCTCCCCCTCCCCAGCAACAACAAAAATAAAATAAAAATAAATAAATAATCTTGTTTTATCTATTCATCCCTTTATTTTTAACTCTCCTATCTCCAATTTTCTCTTTTAGTTGCAGTCGCTTTCGAATGTACAGACAAGATCAACGTCATTTAGGTTCCCCAAATGGCATAACCCTTGATATTGTCAAAATAAATGCTGATGTTATTTTTAACTATAACTTATTATCAAGCGAGTTCAACTTCAGATATTATGCCATCAGTTATAACTTGTAGTAATGGTATTAGTTATTTTTAATATAACATCAGCATCCATTTTGACAATACCAAGGGTTATGCAATTCCTATAATAAAATCACATGTTTACTAGCTCTGTAGAAACCGCCTACTGAAGCCGGCGGTGTTGCATGCAGCAGCTTACAAATGGCATTCATTCACTCACCCAACTTAACCTTTTACTTTCCTCTATCATCTACCAGACAAGCAATCCTCCACCGTTAGATCTCAACCACAATCTCTCATCCTCACCCTTCATTTTCTAAGTGCAGTCATGTAATTCCTTTTACACTTCACTTGATCCATCATCCACACTTCACTATAAATGTAACTAACCAAAATCCTTAGCTTATTCAAGACCAAGCCAAGTCCTTGTAGTAGTGAGAGTTGTTGACAGTTGAGAAGTTAGCTTGGTTCCCATTTTACCCCTCCTCAGTTAGTGCCATCCAAGCCAGAAAATGCGTGAGATTCTTCATATTCAGGGAGGGCAATGTGGTAACCAAATAGGATCAAAGTTCTGGGAAGTGGTGTGTGATGAGCATGGTATTGACCCCATAGGGAAGTACGTTGGCGAATCAGAACTTCAGCTTGAAAGAGTGAACGTTTATTTCAATGAGGCTGGAAATGGACGTTACGTGCCACGTGCAGTGCTGATGGACCTTGAGCCTGGCACCATGGACTCTATCCGGACCGGCCCTTATGGCCAGATTTTCCGGCCAGACAACTTCATTTTCGGGCAGTCCGGTGCCGGAAACAATTTCGCCAAGGGCCATTACACGGAGGGTGCTGAGCTTATTGACTCTGTCCTTGATGTTGTCAGGAAGGAGATTGAGAATTGTGACTGCTTGCAAGGTAAGAAACCAAACATCATGGGACACTGTTTCATTAAAATTAAATTCGTTTTTGGGTTTATTAATTTTGATTCAATATCACTTGATGATTAATCACATTGCTTGAACTGAACATGAAACATGTTTGAACAATTAAGAATCTGTTACTTTGATTATTTACTTGAAAATTTTGTGGCTCATGAAATAATAACTTAATTTCCAGCAAAATGATTGATTTTGGTTTCATATTTAGGATTTCAAGTGTGCCACTCCCTGGGAGGGGGAACAGGTTCTGGAATGGGAACTCTACTGATTTCAAAGATCAGAGAGGAATACCCGGATCGAATGATGCTTACATTCTCTGTCTTTCCATCTCCAAAGGTGTCAGACACGGTTGTTGAGCCTTATAATGCTACACTTTCTGTTCACCAGTTGGTGGAGAATGCTGATGAGTGCATGGTCCTTGATAATGAAGCATTATATGACATCTGCTTCAGGACCCTCAAGCTCTCTACACCAAGTTGTAAGTATAATATATAATTATATGGCAGTCTTGATGATTTTCCTATGCATTGACAATGAGTACCTCATGTTATGTAAATTTTTTCTTTCTTTTTTCCCTTTTCTTCTTGATGAGTTCTTTGTCTTCATAATTTCCTTCCAGTTGGAGATTTGAATCATTTGATATCAGCAACAATGAGTGGAGTTACTTGTTGCTTAAGATTCCCGGGTCAGCTGAACTCAGACCTGAGGAAGCTAGCTGTGAACTTAATCCCATTTCCACGACTTCACTTCTTTATGGTGGGTTTTGCCCCCCTGACATCTCGAGGATCACAGAACTACCGTGCACTTTCTGTCCCAGAACTGACACAACAGATGTGGGATGCAAAGAACATGATGTGTGCAGCCGATCCACGCCACGGTCGTTACTTAACAGCCTCAGCAGTGTTCAGAGGCAAAATGAGCACAAAAGAAGTAGATGAACAGATGATGAATGTGCAGAATAAGAACTCTTCCTACTTTGTTGAGTGGATTCCCAATAATGTCAAGTCTAGTGTCTGTGACATCGCACCGAGAGGCCTTTCCATGGCTTCAACTTTTGTTGGTAATTCAACTTCTATACAGGAGATGTTCAGGAGAGTCAGTGAGCAGTTCACAGCCATGTTCAGAAGGAAAGCCTTCTTGCACTGGTATACTGGAGAAGGAATGGATGAGATGGAATTTACTGAAGCAGAGAGTAATATGAATGACCTTGTTGCTGAGTATCAACAATACCAGGATGCCTCGGCTGAGGAAGATGGTGATTATGAAGAAGGAGAAGAAGAAGAAGAAGAAGCTGAGGGTGCTGAAAGCTGAAGGGGTTCTGACTAACCTCATACTTCGCATGTTCCAAGAAATATTTAATCGATAATGTTCTGTCCTTTGGCTTTTTAAATGTCTGGTGCAGTTTGTGGTTACCTGCAGTGATTGTGGTTCTACTTGTTTTTAGTTTACCTTAATATAAGGGTGCCCTTTCAATAACAGTTTCCTTTCTTGATATTTTTGACAAAGGACTTGAATTACCGCAAAAATATTATTTCCTAAGCTAATTCGTTAAAATCTAACAAAATTTGAGATATGTTTGACCAACTTATAATATCTTAGCGTTACGGCCTGAAACTCGGATAACAGGGGTTGCAGGTTTGTGGGAAAGACCTACTACTTACTATTAGGTCATCATGATACTGGAAACTAGCTACAGTGCAAGCCTGCAAGTGGGAGGAAAAAGAAATATGCTCAGTGCTTTGAATATCAAGTGGCACATCAAAGTAGTCCTTAGAGTGAATATCAAGTCATATAGGATACCAAAAAATAATTATCTAACTGATAATAAATATTAAGGTTCGGAAGTTGAATAAGTATATCAAAACGGAAAGAAGGACAAGAATAGAACAATCTTATATTCTATTCTGAGCAAATTATAGAGGTAACATCAGTGTAATCATGTTAACAAAATAATTGAAGTCTGGCCATGTACATTTTACATTGTAAACCTAATACCAGCAGCATTCACAGGAATAGACATGTTGATAAACTGCATTTGCAGTCTTGAATACATTTTCCAAAAAAAAAATCTAAAACTAAAACTCTTAAAACAGATACCTTTGGCTATCATGTCCAAAAGTTTGTTGTTTGTGCAATGGTTCTTTGGTTTGTCTTAAAACAGATACCTTCAGCCATTCATTTCAAAACTCTTTGGATTGTGTCATTATAGTGACTGTGTCTAGATGAGATGCGGTTCAGCTGATCATATCCAGCGAGCACCCCTGCTCCTGCCACACCAAGAAGCATATTTGCTGTAACTCCTCGATACAGAGCTAAGAAACCCTCTTTTTGAACAATTTCACGAAATGCATGCCTTGCATTATTATACTTGTTTGGATGTCCAGAGGTTAGCATCATTCGGCGACGCAGTGTGTCAAAAGGGTATGCACAAACCCCTGAGAAGGTTGTGATGCTCCAACCTAAGAAGAAACTAGCAAAGAAATTCCCCTGCAGAAAATAAATCAAAAGACTCACATTGGAATGCAAGGGCATAAAAGAACAGAACCAATGCTCTGAATTCCTCTAAGTTCTATAACATCAAGAGATGAATCCACGAAAAGTTTATGACAAAAAATAACAGTATATTCTTTTTCCAAAATACTATTAACTAACTTGTCATATGTGTTGAATGTTCAAACTTTCAATCATCAATGTAACTTGCAGAATCTAGGGTAACTCATTTGGCCCACATACCACCCTGAAACAGACCAAACAGACCACTGGTCCAGTAATAATGGAAGGCAAATTCTCAGTTAAAAGTATAAAATAAACTATCAAGTATCAACTACATATTTTCCCATTGGCTGTGAACAATAGAGCTCTTTTATGAAAGTATAAATACTTACCTCAAAAGGCCCCACTAAAACAATAGGCTTCATGGTGTCATATATCCCAAAGTACATCCCTCGATACATGGTGATTCCCCATATTGAAACCCCAAATCCCCTGTACAAGCCAGCAATTCCATCACTTGATAAGGTTTTACGGTATAGATCAATTAGACCTTTAAACTGGCGTTGGCCAGTAGCACGGCACTCCAATGCATCAGTGCCCAACCGTGTCCGTGCATAATCTAAATGATACAGAAG